TGCAGAAGAGTCACAAAATGTAGAGCACAACACAGGGAATATTCTCAATAATATTGTCATCGCTATGGACGGGGCCAGGTGGGCAATAGACTTATGAGGGAGACGTCTTTGTGAATTCTATAAATGTCTAACCACTGTGCTATACACCTGAAACTAATTCAGAATAATATTACACTGTAATTTTTTTTTTTAAATTGTTTTTAGGCCTTAAATGCCATGAAAATTCAAGTCGGATAACGGCAAGCCCTCCGAAACAAAAATGCGTATTTTCCAACCCGATGGACATCCTGCTAAATTCCGCTGCAGAATGTCCATTGCTCCATCACCCTCACCCAGGGGGCACAGCTCGTCACGAAATACCCTGCGCCCCGAGGTGTCCGGTCACCCCAACGGACGGGACTGCCTGGTAACGCGGTTGTCTGTCTCGTCCACCGTCTTCTGGGAACCGACTCTGAACAGAAGCTGGGTCTCGGGAGCCGCTTACCCATCCAAGTCACCGAGGTCACATAACCTTGGAACCCGAGGTGTCTCTATACCACCCGCAAGTCCATCCGAATTCAAGGTCGGACTTGGTCCTGAATCGCACTTGCGTCGAAAGTGAAATTTCGTAAACGGTTGAAATTTCGAAATACCATTTCCACTAGCTGCTTTGTGTCCTTAGATGACATAGATCCAAGGTCAAAGAAGTGGGTGTTGGCCACAGTGAAGAATGGAGTTATGTCCGTGTATCTCTGCCTTCAGAGTCCGTCTCTCTGGCTCCAGGCCCTGGAACAATAGGGTCTCGGGAAAGACGAAAGAATATCTTTGCTCCTCATTCAGCCCAGTCCCTGGATTATTCTAGCTGCCCGAGGCATGCCTACCTCCGGCAGAATGGATGAGTCAATTAAATCCCCAAAACTTGTGGGGAACCATGTATTCCTGCTTGGATGAATCCTGATCATATACATGTGCTTTAATTATTCTCTCTCTGTCTGTCTCACGTTCTCTAACTTTTGTGCTCAACTCTTCCTACCCAAAAGTTATCATCCCCACAAAGTCACTAGCATGAGGGTTATCGGCAAAATCATTGCCCTTCAAGATACACAAGGCGGGAGGGGCGAATTTATTGATCCACTCAAGGGGATAGGTTGCGATCCATTGCAAAGGGTGTCGGTCCAATTTGTCTTTTAGGGTTGGAGTTTCGACGTAGGAGATACGTTCGCAAACGTGAAAGAGACGTGGACATTTAGGAAGTGGTGTTTGTGACGGGTTGTGGGTCAGCTGGACGGGAAGCTATGTTAGTGTGACCCCTAGTGGTTACATCGCTCTCATGATAAAAAACGTCGAATGTTCAACAAGGCCTAGATTATTCCGTGTTTCGGATGAGACCACAGAAAGAGTATTTTTATATGAAGACTTTTGTATAATTTTGGCTTTACAGCTATACTGGGAAAGGTAAAGAGACATCTCATAAACCCCTGCCCCCACACATGCTTAATTGTCCCCAGTATCAACCTAGACAATAATTTTAAGTCACTATAGATGTAGACAAAAATGTATAGCTAATCCGTTTGTTTGGCTCAATGATTAGTTAATGAGCCAGTTTTGGGTGCTTGGACAAACGGTGGAGGTCTAGATTGTGGAATAGATGATGTGTAGGGTCACCTAGTTTATTAGGCATTGCTTTGCAGTGCTTTACAGATATTTCACTCTTTAAATATTTGTTAAAAGATTTTTAAATTGCACGTGGCTGGCATCGCTCAGGGGATTGAACATTGTCCCCTCAACTGAGAGGTCCCCGTTTGATTCCTGGTCGGGGCACAGGCCCAGGTTGTGGGCTTGATCCCCAGTAGGGGGCGTGCAGGAGGCGGCCAACCATTGTATCTCAGTCACATCAATGTTTCTATCTCTGTCTCCCTTCCTCTCTCGAAAAAAAATCAATAAAATATATTTTTAAAAAATTTTTAAATGGCTTTTTGGAGACAGAGGGAGAGAGAAACATCAATGCAAGAGAGAACATCAATCGGCCGCCTCCTGCACGCCCCCAAGTGGGGATCAAGCCCACATCCTGGGCATGTGCCCTGACCGGGAATCGAACCGGTGACCTTTTGGTGCACAGGATGGTACTCAACCAACTGAGCCACATGGGTCAGGGCTGCAGGTCCTCTTCTTCATTCAGTATAACAAGGGCACTGGATGAGACAATCTTGGAAGATGCTTCTCAGGCGAACAGTCTAAGATTCTGTCCCAGAACCTCCTAAATGCAAAGGGAACCTCCTCATAGCCTCTGTGACTGGACAGGGACATCTTGGAGACTTAGAATGAGGAACAGCGGAGAAATGACTCCACCTTTGTAAGTCAACGTTCTGTGGTCAATAAGGTCCATGGTGGTTACCCGGCTTCTCTCCGGGGCAAACACAGACAAAATGAACTTCATATTCCATTTCACGAGATTATTAGTGTATCTTTCATTTTTCATGTTCATTCTTCGTCAAGACAGTAAAAGACTAGAGTTTGGTTGGAAAGACATCAAACACGTCCTTATCTTTCTCCTCATGCAACACCTTTGAGAGGTATCATGGGTGGGTGTGCATGGCGGTTTGAAGCTGGCTTGGCCAAGGGTGCAGACACTGTATCTGTTACAGAGGGGTCTAGTTGGTTGAACCATGTCCCCCGAAAAGGTAGGTTGACGTCCGAAATCTGGGTGCCTGGGAATAGAACCTTCTTTGGAAAAGGGTCTTTGCAGATGGGATCGAGTGAACATGATGAGATCTTCCTCAATTGGGATGGGCTCCAGTCCAGCGACAGGTGTCCTTACAGAGAGAGGGAAATCTGGGTGCAGGCACAGAGAAATGAAAGATATCCACATGAAGACAAAGGCAGAGATGAAACGGACACACCCACAAGCCAAGAAGCGGTAAGGATTACCAGCCACCACCCAGAAGCTGAGAGGGACCAGAGAAGGCTTTTCTCCAGAGCTTTGGAGAGATCAGGGTCCTGCTGACACCTTGACTTTGATGAACGAACAACCCTATATTGTTTGAAACCATCACATTTGTCCCAATTTTTAAATGCCACCCTAGAAAACTTTAGGACTCACACCTAAATCGTGAACGTGAGTTAAGATGGAAGTAAAGTTCCAGCCAAGTTCTGGCACATTCTATGGTGAACATCAATGCAGGTGCCCCTTCTGGGTTTTTATTGCCCCTTCTCATTTTTTCCCTTGCTGTGGGTAATGTTCGTTGGTTTGTTTTTAATCCTCAGCCGAGGATATTTTTCTATTTATCTTCAGATAGAGTGGGAGGAAGAGAAAAGAAGACAGAGAGGCACATTGATTGGCTGCCTCCAGTTGGACTCCAACCAGGGCCGGGGACAAACCAGAACCGAGGCACATGCTCTTGGCCAGAATCGAACCAGGGACTCATTGGTCCTTGGGCCGATGCTCTTCCACTGAGCCAAAGCATCCAGGGCTCTGTGGATAATGTTTTATCAATGGCTGAAAAGGTTTCCAGAGTATCAAACACCAGTTGCTATTTGGATTTCCATGTGGTGCTATTTACACAATGGAATACTACGCAGCCATCAAAAGGGAGGAAATCATACCTTCTGAGACAGTGTGAATGGACCTGGAGGGTATTAAGCCAAGTGAAATGAGCCAGTTAGAGAAAGACAAATACTGTGTGGTTGTACTTATATGTGGAATCTAATGAATAAAATAAGCAGACAAAATAAAAAGACTCAGAGATACACAGAACAGACTGACAACTGTCAGAGAGGAGGGAGGCTGGGTGGAAATGGTGAAGGGATTAAGGAAAAAATGTAGAGACACAGACAACAATGTGGTTATTGTCAGAAGGAAAAGGGGTGGTGGAAGTAGAAGAGGGTAAAGGCAGAATAAATGGTGATGGGAGGAGACTTGATGTGGGAAGGCAAACACACAATACACTATACATATGATGTGTTATAATATACTTGTACACCTGAGAGCAATAAAATTTTATTAACCAATGTCACTCCAATAAAGTCAATAAAGGTTAATAAAATAAAGTGAATTGCCTTGCTGTTTTATTTTGAAAAACAAAAAAACAAAAAACCAAAAACCAAAAAACCTATTGTTGCTGAAGGGCTACTTTACACTCCGATGGTCCCCGACCTACAATGGTTTCACTTAGCAATTTTTTGATTCCACACTGATGTGAAAGAGATTGTCACTCAGTCAAAACTGTTTTTTCAATTTTAGATTTTGATCTTGTCCCAGGACAGTGGTTTGCAGGACCCTATGGTCTTGTCATTGTCCACATTCATTCAGTGGTGGCTCCCCGTCAGCCCCACAGACATGAAGTCAGCAACCAACAGTCCTAATGACCTGGGTTGACCTCATTTTGCAATACTGTATTTTGTAATATCCCGTCCCATCATGTTCACAAAATGCTGTCTGCATTTCCTGCATCTGCTGAGAAGAGGAGGAAGAGAATTACACTTGACATGAACCTCAAGAAAATTGCCCAACTGCAGGATAATGTACGTGTTCTGAGCATGTTTAAGGCAGGCCGGGCCAAGTTACGATGTTCGGTAGATCAGATGTATTAAACACATATTCAACTTATGAGATTGTCCATGACACTAGGTTTACTGAGATGGAACCCCATTGTAAGACAGAAGCATCCGCAGAAACGTTTAATGAGTTGCCATCTAAATGACAGGTGTTTTGTCTCCAACCATAGACTTTCATGCACACAGGTTTGCTCTGTGCATCAAGAGTTTGCTTGAGGAGAAAGAGAGAAAATGAGAAAAATGGGGAAGCAGGTGTGTTTCCCAGCACAAACAGCCAGGTTTAAAAACTTGGAAATTAGATAAACAATAGCACTGACAATCCCCCAAGAAGTGAATGGACAGTATTACAACTGACATTTAATAATCTGGGGTTTTAGAGGAATTTTTTGGTGGTCAAATTTATACCTTGTTCCTTTGACGGTGCCAATGTTGGCGGCCCTTGGCTGTCGGCTCTGTCAATCGCTGCTTCATAGTATGTTCCCTTCGCCCTCCTCCTTGTCACACAGACAGAATGGGAACACCCCACAGCAGGACTTCAGTGACACACGTTCATAATTCAGTTCTGGACCCAGCTGCAGCTCAACTGGGGTGATGGATTTCTTGTGCTCCATCAGGGCATCAGCCACCGTGCTGATCACCAAGTCATAGAGCGGCTCTGTGTCACTTGTCAGCGGGGTGGACTCGGAAGGGTCTCGGGAGAGATCGAACAGCAAGGGAGGGTCATGGTAGGTGACATTTTCCCCTGCACATTGACAGAGTTGGGTCTCATAGCAGGCCTGAGCTCCTGGAGGCTGGAATATGGGTGTCACGTAATGAACCTTCCACACTGCCTCACCTGGGGAAGAAGAGTCACATCAGAGACACCGAGACTAGCTGTCCATGACTCTTCTTCTGCCTTCTCGAGCAATTCCTGGTCTTTCTCTTTGTCCACATATTAACTTATATGTCAGTCAATCTTCAGAACATTATCAGAACATCACAAGACCCTAATAAAATGATACACACTACCAAATTGATATTATATTTCTCCTTAATTGAATTTATTTGGGTGGTCTTGTTTTTTTACAGGTTTCATAAGTATAATTCTATAAAATATCATCTATATATTGTATTGTGTGTTCACCAACCGAAGTCAAGACTCCGTCACCATTTATCCCCCTTTACCCTCTTCTACCTCCTCCCACCCCACTTCCTTCTGCCAACCACCATGCTGTTGTCTGTGTCCATGAGATATATACTTTTTTATTCTGTTTAATCCCTTCATATTTCTCCCCTTCCCCCAATCCCTCCTCTCTGATGGCTGTCAATCTGTTCTCAGTATCCATGACTCTGGTAAGTATCCACGTATACTGGTGAGCAACCCAAGTGGATCAAAAAGCTGTGGTATATTTACATAATGTAATATTATAAAAACATGAGCCCTGGCCAGTTTGGCTCAGTGGCACTGGCCGGTTTGGCTCAGCGGTTAGAGCGTCGGCCTGCGGTCCGGAGAGACCCAGTTTCGGTTCCCGCTAAGGGCACGTACCTCGGTTGCAGTTTGTCCCCGGCCCTGGTTGGTCGTGCGGGTGGCAGCCACTCGATGTGTCCCTTTCACGTCGATGTTTCTCTCTCTCTCTCTCTTCCTCTCTCTCGCTCCCACTCTGTCTGTACAAAAAATGGAAAAATGTCCTCGGGTGAGGATAAAAACAAACACAAAAAAACATGAAAATAAATCTTACCTTTGGCTACAACATGGAAAAACATGGAGAGTATCATGCTAAGTGAAATAAGCCAGTCAGAGAAAAACATATCATCTGATTTCACGTATATGTAGATTATAATGAACAAAATAAACTAATAAGGTGTTTCTCAAAACTGATATTTTTAAAAGTCATGTCTCTGACTTCCTCAAGTAGAGCACTCTGAGAAACTTTCCAAAGAACGTATGTTAATTGCCAAGCCTACCCCAGAAGGACTGGGCCGGTGGATTAAAAGGAGGCAAGCAGGGAGAGTCTACAGAAGGGACCATACTTTAGCCATCTTCAGGGTGCAGGGCAGGTATACTTACTGTTCTTTGGGTGCCATCGCGCGGCGTGGATGAACTTAGTACAGTAGTGAAACAGAAACTCATGCTCGGAACGCTGGACCTTCCCCTGAAGCAAGGGCATGAGGTTTCGGCCATCAATCACCCTGGAGACACACACAAAGAAGGTCAGGCAAGGGATCTGAGCCACCAGGCTGCCTGCAGGAGGCTCGTGTGTTCCATGACATTCCCTGGGCCCAGCGACCAGTGTCTGAGAATGTAGGAGCCTCCATGCATGCTCTCAGGGAGAGAAACACAACTAAGCTTTCACAGTGAAACGGCAGATGTGAACACGTACTCCATCGAATGAGCATTGTAGTTGAGGCCACAAAAGTTCAACAGTTCAATCAGATTTTCATTTCCAATGATAACTACCCAGAGAAAGGGATTCAATAGAATCTGTATAAAACTATACATTTAATCTTGTGACCCAAAATGTGTCTCATACATTATATTAGAAAACAATAGTCATAAAACCTACCTCATAGTAGAAAAGCGAATAACAAGTCACCCTTAAAATCTCAGAGAATTATTTTTATGACTGTGATTGGCTTAGTAACTTAAAAATTCAATGAGCAATAACACTATTATCTTTTTTGATGGATCTTTTAGCTGAAATCGATAAAGACTTTTCTCAGTAGACAACTCTAGTCAGTTTTTATTTTATAAGAACTGCCCCTAAATCCTATTATTGGCTGAAATGAATGATAAAAAAAAAAAAGGAAAGTTCTCATTTTTGTTTTAATTCGCTTTTAGATTCAACTTTTCCTCAAATTTAGACAATCTCTGTTAACTAAGAAAGAAACGTTAAAATAACTTTTTGGGCTTAGAAGAGAGATATGAAAGTCAGTTAAATCTATTGAATATTTTTATAAACCTGTTATCAATGAAGAATCGGAAAATTGGATGCAAACCAACCTAGGTCAATAGTTACCAGGGAGTAGAACACTGCAATAGAATGAAATTAAAACTATTTGTGATAGAGTTCAAAATATCCGTCGAATGTCTATTGTCATCTGAGCCTCCTGGACCTTGAACACCACATCTGGGGGACTTTTTTTTCTTTTACGTGGATGGGTGCATTTGACTGGCCATAGTCTCTTCTCTAAGCCTTCCTGTCTTTATCCTCTACCCAAATGAGCTACAACGTGTCTAAGACGGGCCACAGAGCTAATAAATTGATGCCTAGTGTATGAATAACGCTCAATAGACGCAGCCATATACAAAGGTGAAAATTACCAGGAGAGTGGGGGAAAAGTATACCTGATAAAATAGAGTTTATCTCCTTGATCTGAATCTTTCAAAAGAAAAATAAAAGAAGCTCCATTCACAGATTATATGACGTCACCTCTCCTGAGGAACTATTCCTCCTGACAAAGCTGCTACAGTGGGTAGGATATCCATCAAGCTTGTAGGTTCCTCAATCACTTTGCCAGTTGGCAATTTTCCAGGCCATCGGAAAAGTCCAGGCACACGATCCCACCTTCCCAGCCTGACATGCCTTTCCCGCCTGCAAGGCAAAGCAATAAAGCTTCAATTAATACAGTCACTGTGATAAGACTGTTTAAATGTAATTTAATATCAATAGTGTGTGTGCCTGCTCAGTGCCCACCATGTGCAGATACCTGGTGGGGTCAGCAGTACATGTCTACCACACCATGTTTTCTCATGCAGCTCATAGGGTTTTGCTCAAAGGTACATTCTCAGTGAAGACATTACTTAAAATAGCAACCTCACCTCATAATTTTTCTTCTTTATTTTCTCCCATCATTCTATGGTCTACCTTCCTCTCACAATTACTGCCTTCTAAACTATGAGATCATTTACCAATACATTTTTTTTTCTGGTGCGCCTCTTTGCATGAGACTATAAATTCCATGAAGGTGGAAATGAATGTGGGTTTTTTGGATTCTGAGTCTAGCGTGATGAAAGACTTTGAAAGGAATAGTATAGGTAAGTGTTAATTTCTTGTCCAAACTAGAGAATTTAGTGATACAGAAAGTAGGAGATGATAAATGGACACTAGGATTACCCCCATACAATAAAGTTTCCTTTTCTTTTCTTTTCTTTCTTTTTTTTTTTTTATCCTCACCCGAGAATATTTTTCCATTTTTTGTACAGGTAGAGTGGGAGGGAGAGAGAGGAAGGGAGAGAGAGAGAGAAACATCGACGTGAAGGGACCCATTGAGTGGCTGCCACCCACACAACCAACCAGGGCCGGGGACAAACTGCAACCGAAGTACGTGCCCTTAGCGGGAACCAAACCCGGGTCTCTCTGGACCGCAGGCCGAGGCTCTAACCGCTGAGCCAACCTGGCCAGGGCACAATAAAGTTTTCTTGAGTCAACTAGGAGGAATGACCATCCTACAGTGTTAATGCATTTTTGTTACTTCATTGGTAGATGGGAAGCTAAGAGATTCTATGGAAGGTATCCTCACAGGGTGATTTGATTATAAATTCCTAACTGGTGAGTCATGATGAGTTGTCACACCAAACCCAGTATTTTGTATAGTGAAAGGTTTTAAGTGAGCTTTGCCTATTGTGTTTGTGTATCCAGCTTAACAGCCTCTGAAATACCAAAAGTAAAGCCACTTGAAGGGGGTGTGAACCCTCAAGAGAGCATCTAATCTTGCTATCTATACTGTAGTCCAATCCCCACCTTGCTTTCAATAACCTGCCTTATGCTTGCTTCTTGATTTTAAATGGATAAAAGAAGTTGTAATTGAGATCTTGATCTAAACATATGTCATCAGTTTTGTTCAAATAAACCCTTATAAGAATTCTGTACAGGTTTGGACATTTCTAATGTTGACAGGTTGAATTACTTGAAACATAGTTTAAATCACAATCTACTCAGACATGGAGATATTATTAACGTTCTCATGAGAAAAACTATAAAATTTTCTTTATGAATTTGTTTGCTTCCTAAGCACACCCTTTTGTTGTGCAAGGCATAGCTGCACACTTTCTTCTCCTTTGGTCAGAGATGCAAAGACAATCTTGTTCATAGAGAAATCATAATTTGTACCATGTGCAAATCTATACAATGTATATTTGAATGAGTAATGATCCATTTGCCCCTACTAAACACTTTAGATTCTGTCTTAGTTCATAGGTTTAAATGTACTGAACAGGTTCCAGGTTGTCTTCTTATAACATCAGGATACAGTTACTAGACCACATCAAAGTGTTGGCTGATGGATATATATTCATGAACCACTTGTCACACCATGACATGGAATTGGTAGGTGTGGACTTCGTTGTGAAACTCGAGACAAGCTTGGCCAGATCTCTAGAAAAGCACACCAATGCTTTCTTGATGTCCAAGGAGACTTGGGTTTTTGTTCTTTGTATTCTCTTTTATACCATAGTTTTTCTTATTCTATATTCTATTCATCATGTAGATGAAATCAGCGATTAGATATTCAACAGATTTAGCTACTGGCTTAAGTCATCTACTTATGCTAATGCTCTTTAAGTTCATAGGATGATCAAGGAGGCAATGTCTAGAGGGTTCCTTTAAAATGTTGGTAATTTAAGGTCAATATCCTAGGAGTTCAGCCCAACACTTTATTTTATACCAAATGTCCGATAAAATAGTCCTGTTGAGCCTGTTATGCCTCATTCATTTCATGTTTCATGCCATGGATTTGTATTACAGTGAGTAACTCAGACCCCATTCACAAGGACACCCCTGGATTAATCTCTCCTCCTGACCTTTGTATATCCCATTCCATCCACCAAGCTGGGTGTGGCCCAACCTTGCCTCCAAATGGCCTCCGTGGTCTGATGCAAAGAAGACCAGTGTGTGATTCCTCAGCCCCAAATCATCAATGGCAGCAAGAAGTTTGCCTGAAACAATGTAAAAAGGACCCACAACATGAATGACCTGATGATCTTTGGGCATCTAGGTTAGTCCTGATATGAGCACATTTCTCTGGTAGTCATTGTAAAAATGCTTCTCATCACAGTTGCCCAGAACCTTACTCTTCAAGAACATTGTGTGAGTGGACCTGTTTCTTCACTTTCCCATTAACATCCCATGTTGAAGAAGATTGTGGTAAATTAAATGTGCAAATGGATTCCTTCCTATGCTGATACTGACATTTATACTTTCCATCTGTATGTAACTTAGCTCTTGATCATTTGTCTTTTAAATATCTCATGTTCCTGTTACTGATTTCTAAGTATTCTTTATTTATTTAGGAATGAAAACGATGCCATTGGTCACTAATATTTCCTCAGGAAGCAAGGCACTAGGTGTGCTATTTATGATATTTTTTGAAATCTAAAGACTTTGTCTTTGTCGTCACTTCCGTGGTTTTTATCAGCTCTCTGCCTAGATCTAGAGAGAGAAACTTAGTATTTCATGTAACTTTCTTCTAGGTTTGCTTTTGTTTTCATTCAATGTGCTCAACGTGTATGGAAAAGTATGCTAATTGAATTAGGAAATGATTGTTTTAAAGCTGCTGTTATCAAATGGCCACACGCTGGGGGACTTAAAACAGCAGAGGTTCTTTTGTTTCTCAGAGTTTCGGAGGCCGCAGGTCCTAAATCAAGGGGTGGGCATTGTTGGTCTCAGTCTCTGTCTCTTTGTCTCTGTCTCTGTTTCTCGGTCTCTGTCTCTCTGTCTCTCTGTCTGAGGTTGTATGGAAGAATGCTTCCTCCCCTCTTCCGAGCTCCAGAGGGTGGATGTCCATTCTTAGCATCAATCTGATCTCTGCCTCCATTGTCACATGTGATCTTGGTGCCGTCCCATCGTTAACACCTTTCGGTAAATATAAATATATGCTAAAATAATATATGTACATTTCTAACATCAACTGAAATCTTTGCTGGTTTATATATGAAGTACATTTATATGAGTATTAAATTCTTATTTGTGTATTACACACATTAGAGAAACTTATAAATGCATAGTGTGCATGTGTGTGTGTGTTGCTGTTGTTGCTAGACTGGTGTTTGTAGGCTTTGCATGACCACTGTCTACTTAGTTTTAAAAATCTCTCTGGATATTGAGAATAGAAACAAGTCAAACTAACTCAACATTTTCAAAAATGATCATTGTTGATGTAGTGGATGCAGGAAATGAAGGTATGTATTTCTAAGAAGTTTTTGCTCATCCTTGGGTCGTTCTACCTGCCCAGTAGAGCTGTCTGAGCATTCCTGTGGTCCTTACACATCACACCCCCAAATCCCAATTTCAACCTTGATAACCTCCTGTTAACAGATTCAGAGAAGTCTCTCTTCCAGTCTCTCCATCTGTGGTTTCTCCTCCTCATGGTGGACACTCATCCCCTCTTACACATTCTTGAGAAACCTGCTCTGGTCATGGGAACTACTGAATTCTGTCCATGAAGGACACATGTTTTTCCTCTGTGTGGGGCAAGACAGGTCACTTCCATTAGAAGCCTGTAGCTGAGTTGGGAAAGAAAAAAAAGAAGCTGGAGACATGATTCTGGAACATTCTAGACACCTAGGAAATGATAGCAGATGAGCATCTCAGAGGCTGTCAGATGCTTCATCAAAGTCCAAGGCTGTTTTTCTCCATCTCTGCCTGTATGTTTTAGCCCAACAAAAACAACCCCTGAGGTAGAGAGTAAGGGGACCTGGGTTTCAGTCTTAGTCATCTAAATGCATCCTGTTACTTGAACCAACAGGTATCTTGTGGTTTAGTGTCCTCATCTGTTTAGGGGCACGATGACCATGATGGACACGGTACCTGTCTCCTAGTATGTTCATGGGGATTCATCCAGAACACCCTTGAAACAGTGTGTGTCCCAAAGAAACAACCACGTTTCAATGGATGAGTGAGTGGATGAGTAAATGAATATATAGATCAATAGTTATAGAAATGATTGATAGTTAGAAAGATAGATAGATGATAGATTAGATAGATAGATAGATAGATAGATAGATAGATAGATAGAGTTATAGAAAATCATAGATACATAGATGAGTGGTAGATAGTTGCATGAATGAATTTATGGGTGGATGAACAGATTGATAAATAGATCGGCATACAGAAGAGCTAATAGGTAGGTAGATAAATAGATAAGGGTTAATTATAGCTGCAAAGATAGATAAATAGTAGAGAAAACATAGATGATACATGGCGAATAGAAATATCAATGCTGCGTGGATGGGCAGATAGATACATTGACAGATAGATGATAGATACGTGGAAAAGATGAAGATTAATAAATTGGGTGTGTGTGTGAATAGATAGTAGTTAGAAAGATACAGAGATAGAAATGATGGGTAAATGAATGGATGGATAAATTCTGTGGGTGGGTGAATAGATTAGATAGATGATAGATAGATAGATAGATAGATAGATAGATAGATAGATAGATAGATAGATATGAGTGTACCAAGCATGAGGAATATATGAATGGATATCTGACTGAAAATCTAAGGGTCTCCTACTAGTTGATTGATAAGGGATTGATTCAGTAAAACTTGCCACACCTTGAAGACAACCAAATATCCACGTGAGTCCTACTGGCATTCAACTGAGAGAATATGATAATGTGTACCTACAATGCGTTGATAGTTACCTGCACACAATTAGGGCCACATCAAGAATGCATGGACTGACCTCACCGAGCACCTGAGGGGATCCGTAGATGAGAGGTTAAGGCTCCCGGAGGAGGTTTGTTCTGTTCTAAAATGACACTAAGATGTTCTTCTTTCCCCAGGTCAAATCAGGGACAAAAGTAAAGGGACATAAAGTAGCATGGCGCTCTCATGACACACAAACTCGGTCCTGTCAAATAGGGGCAGCAGCTTAACTGCCAAAGGCCGTCATTAGTTTATTCCGTCACCGTTGGCATCAGGATGAGGAAATCCACGTGGCTCATTTCAATGAGATAAAGAGGTGAGCGAGAGAACAGGTGAGGCCCAGGGATCCTGCCCAGTTTGATTTTGTTGAGCAACCATTGCTTACAACACCTCCTGTGTCTCTCAGCAGAGAATCAAGTTCTTTGTCTCTGAAAATAAGTAGATGGGTTACCATTGGGCTTCCCTTTCACCTATAAATGTTAATGTTTCTATCAGTGTGTGAGGCTGTCTCCCGGGAATGAAATGAGCCAGACACCATGGTCATTGCCACAAAGGCACACCCCGGTTTTCTCCTCTGAATTAACCTTCATAGCAACTGGAGAAAGTGAGGAGCTGAGACAGAGGAATAGTCTGGACAGACCACATGGAAACTCTCTGAGCAATGCACACAGTCATCATTTTGCTTTGGGCCAAGGCAATGGGCTACAGACATTTTCATGAAATGAAAACTTGACCTTCATAAAATGCTAATGATGTCCATGCCATTTGGGTGTTCTTGGGAGGTCTCGTTTCATGTCTTAAATTATGTCTCATGGATGAGACACAGGATTTCAGACAATAACGTGGAAAGAGAACACCATCGTAAGTCTTTACCGTAGGACCTCTTTGCACAGAGCATCTGTGCAAGGACACAAGGTGATGCAGGAACATGTGGGATGAACATCTGTAGAGACCTGGTGGTTAGGAGGGAAGGGTCTTTCGTTATGTCTATGCTACGTCTGAAAAGAATGGGTGGGGTCATTGAGGAAGAAGTACGTGTGTGTGTGTGTGTGTGTGTGTGTGTGTGTGTGTGTGTGTGTGAAGGATCCTTGGTGACAGCAGGTCCAGCTGAGCAAGCACAATGGTGACCGAGACTTCAGGAGGGTACAGAGACCAATGGATTCTTACCGAGAATTCCCGTGCTGTACCTTTGCTCCTTGACTAAGTCTGCAAAGGTTGTTTCATTAGTTGGGAGTCCGGAAGCAACACCAAGTGGAATGATAAGACGTGTATTTCCACTGGAAACCATTCCTAAATGTGACATGAAACAAAGCACACGTACACACATTCCGTCGTTAGGTGCTCATCAAGTGCAGAGGGAGAGAGTCCTCCAGAGCTCAGAGCTTGAAGGGAGGACAGATCAGGAGCCAGGAAGAGATACCATCATGTGGGGGAAGAAATTACGTTCTGCAAAGACAAACTCACCCTGGCCCAGAATGCAAAACCCTTACACCCTGAGTGCCTACTCACCGGACACTATCAGATCTACCCAAACACACCGTCCGCCTTCAACACACACGTGCTGATTGAACATCTCACATGGGCCTGTCCTCACCCGGGGAACCTAATCGTCCAAAAATGTCAAAAAGTGAAATCTTATGCGAAGGTCAAACTCTCTTCTTCCTGCTCAATGTCTCTTTCTGACAATAGCATTTAGTTCTGTTTGTAGGACAGGTGCGTAAGCTCGATTCCTGCCCAGAACCTGAATTTGAGGCATCTGGGAAGAGGAGACGCATCCGTTTCGAATCTCTTCTGACGGAAGTTGAGGTCAAGTAGGTGAGGACCAGTCATCCTGGGACTGAAGAGCTATAATGAATGGGAAAGAGACAGAAGAAAGCAAACGAGGTTGTGAAGGATCCAGGAACTGAAAAACATCCCAATATAGTCAACAGATGACCCTGGCGAGCTGCGAAAAGGGGGAACTTGGCTCAGTCCCATTGGGAATGATGCCTGGATTCAGGGTACATTGACTGGAGCCCCGTAAACTCTCAAAACATATCCATCCTGGCTTCCTTCCAAAATAGGGTCGAACCTAAAACAGTGTCAGGGTGTGGACACAAAATAGAGAAAGATGGGGCACAGCAGGTAAAAGGAACACTATCTATATCAGATAAAATCAGGAGAGAACACCAGGTAGAAATTCTCAGAGAGCAAGCTCCCCTTGTTTTTGCTACAACCCAGTCATTCTCCATCCGCTAGAAGAAGGAACCTCTCCTGGGTTCCCTGAACCCGAGTTGTTTTTGCAAGAAAATTCTTAAAGAGGAAGGTGTGCCTCAGCCAGGACCACAGGGGTATTGACCATGA